GGAAAAAAATAAACAGGGGCGCTAATAATGCAGGGGGCTAATAATTCTGACTTCAACTGTATATATATATATATATATATATATATATATATATATATATATATATATATATATATATATATATATATATATATATATAAGTTTGTGTACATGTAATCAACCATTGTTGTGGCTGCTACATGATGTAGGGTGTTGACAATAACATGTAACAACATTCATACTTCCTTGTATAGACAAAAATGTAAGAGTTTAGTTTTAAGAACTATCCATTGTGTCACCTAGTTTAAAAACATAATGCAGGTTCAGGCTCCCAATATGCTCAAATTACTGGATACAATACAACATATTTACATGTACTGCTTAAAATATGTAATGTATTCATTATATTCAAAAACTGTTCAAAAACAAAAACAAAAACAAAAACAAAACAAAAAATCAGTGGATAGTTTGGCAGTTATTCCTGGCATACAATGTGCAAAAAAAGTTTAAGTTTCTATCACTTTGCGACCCCATGAGTCACAGAAGCAAATGTCACAAGATTAGACAATCTGACAAAAATGGAAGAAAACAAGTTATATATTGAAGAACATTGGGTTCCAAACAACACTAAAACCTGCTGAGTTCTATTCTGTAGACAAAACCTCTTAGAAAAAGACAATATCTCAGTATCTGCTTCTTTTGTTTTCTTAAGACAAAATAAAATATATCAGGCTTTATAGCGACATAAGATTTAGTTTCTTAAGTGAACAATTTTTTTTTTAACATTCAAAAAAGTTACACTTTCTAACTTTATTGTTTGGCCAGACTCTCGTCTCTTGGCGTTTGGTCTTTAGAAAGAAGAGGTCTTCGCTAGACCACACGGCTAGATTATTATGGCTGCTCTTTCTCAGAAAGCCTCTGTCTATATCCTGTTAGTCAAACCACAGGGGAATAAAGACAGAGGTGAGCTTTTCATCAGGTTAATTTGTGGTGAAACCTCAGGATGATGGTTTGAATTTCAATCTCTCTCTTCTGTGTGTGCGCTGCAGTCGATGCTAAAGTGATGACCCCCTCACTGGTGAACTCGCTATGTCTTTAAACAGATCCCTGACCTGCCTTTTCCTGTATAGATTTCAGTTTTCCTTCAGTAGCAGGCTATACTGCATCTCAATGTTCAAACAATCCGAGGGGCTCATGCTGTAGAGGTCTGGAAATGTCAATGTAAACATGTCTTACTAAATTAAAATGCTGTGTTTTCAACAAAACTTAAAGCTTGTGTTGTGTTTTACATTTATTTACATTGACATTTACATTTATATGGATTTTCTTGGCAGGTGTTTTCTGTAAGTATAAATTGTGTCACTTAACAGGAAGATAAATGTACAATTTTTTTTTTTTTTTTTTTTTTGAACACTCCCATTGTGGATTCTAACCTTAGGTTGCTCTAATGGTCTTGTTTTAAAGTATACTTTATGAATAGAAATGTACAATATGAAGAAAGGTATGGAATTTACAATTAAGCAATTCTAGCTTGGGGAATTTTCCAATCCCATAATCCACTTCTGTTTTATAGAGTAGGATTAAAACGTGTTTGTTTGCATGTTTGTTTGTATACTTTATTGTCCCTCAAGGGGAAATACTCACAAAGAACAGTAATACAAGTTAGTTGTCATTTCTGTATGGAGTTTGCATGTTCTCCCAGTGTTCGCGTGAGTTTCCTCCGGGTGCTTTTCCCCACAAGTCAAAAGACATGCATGCGCTATAGGGGAATTGGGTTAGCTAAATTGTCTGTAGTGTATGTGTGTATGTCCTGGTCATCCAGATTGGGGATTGAGTTTTGGGCTAACAACCCACCTTGTAAAAAATTAGATGTTACGGAACATCTAATTTCTTCACAACAACATCTTTCAACATCTGTTTGATATAAACGGTCATGGTATTAAATAGGTAACATATTTATAATGTATCTATTTATCTATCTATGTATTTATTTATTTAAATTATTTATTTATTTATTTATTTGCATTTATGAATAAATAAATGGAATGTTGACATGATGTTACTTTTTCACTGTCACACATGACAAAAATGAATATAAATAGCACTGACATAATTAAAATACCGTACGTCTTCCTTGGACCTCTTGTTATAAAATCTCCTTTATTACAGTTGTTTACATTGCATTCATATTAAAAATGCTCCTAAAGCATTGTTCAATAAATTACAATTCTTATAAATTTAAAAGAAAGTCCTCAAATCAATTTAACAAATGTCTACAATATATATATATATATATATATATATATATATATATATATATATATATATATATATATATATATATATATATAGTAAATTGTACATTTTTTTCATCAATCTATATTTTTGTAAAAACATAGAAACAAGATGCATTTCGTCACTGAAATCCACATCTTCTGGTGTGACAGTTTACGCTGATTTTAATTCCACAGAAAACTGTTATTTATTATTAGTTAAAAGCATTCGTTCAAGACCATGTAAGTGAAGCTCCAATTATAAAACTGTAACTTTAAAATTTCGTTTTGTTGTCCTTTGATTTGACCCTCCATTTATTGAAAATGTTCAACAAGTCATGGACAAAGAAGTGTCCAACATGAAGAGAAATGGCTCTCATGCTATTTTATATTATTAAGAGTTTATATTATTAAGTGAATTTATGTTTTCACATAATAAGGTGTATTTTTATTAGCTTTATTAACAGCTAAAAACAGATCCGCTTAATAATTATAATTTACCAAATCCACGTCATATACACTGTAAAAAATAATAATAAAACATGGACTCAATTTAAAATTGTAAGGTAACTTGCAGCAGAGCTGTTTTGAGTTGTATCAACTTTCAACCCAAGTACTGCACTTGACTCAATTTAAGTTGAGTCAACTCAAAAGAGCTCTACAGCAAGTTCCTTTACAATTTTGAGTTGAGTCAACTTTTTTTTACAATGTAGTTTCAACGTAATTTCTCAGAAATCGCATGTAACGGGAAAAAAATACTAATAAAAATTAAAAATAATTGTTCAAAACTAGGAACCTAGTCACTGCGTCATGGTGTTGCAGTGGGTAGCACGATTGCCTCACAGCAAGAATGTCGCTGGTTCAAGCCCCGGCTGGGTCAGTTGACATTTCTGTGTGGAGTCTGTATTTTCTCCCCATGCTGGCGTGGGTTTCCTCTCGGTGCTCTGGTTTCCCCCATTATTATTAATTATTTAATTGTTTATTAAAAATAATTTAATCCACTTAAAAAAAAAAAAAAAAAAAAAAAAACACGCTGTCAACATTAACCCAGACATGCGGAAAAGGTTCAGTCACGTTCTCTCTTTTAGTCCTCCCACCCCCAAAACACATATGGAAATTTGTGATTGGCTGTACCTTTTCCTGCTATCATGTGAGAGGCGGTGGCTGCTTTCAGATAAGCAGCACCAAATGCAATGGAGTGTTTTATTCCCATGTGAGAATAAGGTGTGTTAGTTGCGGTTGGGTGAAACACACACGTGTGCAAAAAAGGCAGTAAAAAAGGTGGACATAAGTAGCTTTTTTCAACGAAAGTGTAAGTCAAATAAATACAAGTTCACTACTGAATGAGCCCATCATAATAATGTCGTTAATGCTTGTGTTTTCTCCCCACTTTAACGCATAGTCTAACATTACAGCAAACTTAAGTATAGGCTAATCTGTAAATAATAGGCCCTGAAAACTAACTGCAGAATAAACAGCTGAAGTATATGATTCCCGCCAGTTCTCCTAATCTTTCAGAGTAGCATGTCAAATTTCAGTTGAAACATTTTGTCGGAAAAAATGCAGCCTGTATATAGGCATAATACTGATATATGAGACATGTTTCATTTACACTATGGCTAAAATTAACTGAAGCCATTAATAAACTCCCTCTTTATCAGCTAATAAACATTATTTTAACATTACACTAGCAGGCTTGTAGCCAGCTTATTGAAATGGTGGCTATTGTTTTTCTGAAAAACTGAAGCTTTTTGCAGTTATTTGTCTGATTTCTATTTAATTATAAGGTATAAATATTGCATATTTATATTATTAACAATTTAAAAACTTTTTTTTTTTTTTTTTTGCTGTATTATCTTGTCGGATGGTTATAATAACCACACTTTCTGATGCGCCAAAAATATTTTCAACCATTTTGTCAAATTGCTTACCATACTATTTTAATATTTTAGGTGTTTATTTTTAAAATGTGCATTTAAAATGTAAGTTTTGTATCGCAGTTTTATAAATAATGACAATTTTGAATAAAAATATGAAAAGATTCTTGTTTTTAAAAATATAAATTTATTATCGTCTATCAATTTTATTTATTTTTTTTTTTTGAAATCTTATAAAATTTGTTTTAAATGAAACACTGAAGCCTATAATAACAAACTGGCCAGAACATTTTTTCAGAGTTTGGCTATTCGAATAATAGGAAAAATTCCAAAATAATAACAATCTAACTTTTTTTTTTTTTTTTTTTTTTTTTGAACCACCAGATCCCATCCTGGCTACGGGCCTGAATATAATATAATATATATATATATATATATATATATATATATATATATATATATATATATATATATATATATATATATATATATATATATATATACCCTTGTTTGATTCAGCCGTCCCCACCAATGTCAAGTGCAAACCTACGCCCTTGTTTATACTGTGCAGATGAGTGAAAGTGAGCAAAAGTGAGCATTTCACTTTCCATTTGATGACCTTCATTAAGCTTTCTTTTTTAGGTGTTTTATTCATCAAGGACATATTAGTAAGAAGGTGTTAATACTCACCATTTTTAATAATTTGATTACATGGCTGCGGTGTTCTTCTAAGCTGAAATAAAAAAAACATGTATTGAATAACAAACATTATAAACCCAGTAAATGACCTCTGCATTTAATTGTGAGAAGTTCCAGTAATTACCTTTTAAGTTTAATATAAATTATTCCATTTCCCTTTTTTTCCATACAGATGTTAATGAATGCGAACGAAGCCCCTGCAGAAACGGCGGGATCTGCACAGATCTGGTTGCGAACTATTCCTGTGAATGCCCGGGGGAATATATGGGAAGAAATTGCCAGTACAGTAAGTACAAGTTCTTGTTTTTTTAAGGATTCTTCCTTCCCTGTTCCATTTCTTCTCCCTCAGTCCATCCAGAGGGCTTCATATTAAGTGAGTTTTTGTGACAGTTCAGAGCATCTGTTTCACCGGGTCCATGGAGAAGCATGCTAGAGCAGCGCAGAACAGACAGTTGGGTCCACATACACAAGACACATTGTTTCGTGAATAGAGACAGGCACAGTGGGTGTGGCGACAGGCGTTGGAGAGGGATCTATTGAATTAAAATCTACATGAACTATTTTGAAAATTGGAGAACTAGTGTTACATAATTAAAACGGATGAGATGTTTATTTTTTTTTCAAACCTGATGTTCATTACTTCGACTCAGAAACATCAGTAAATCTCTTAGTCCTCTAGAATATTTTCTTGAATGAATATGTAAACATGTGCCTATATCAAAAAAAGAAGAAAATCCGAGCAGCAGAATATGGTAGTCTGTCAAGTATTTTAGGCATTAATCGGATTCTGTTCACACTCATTTCATTTATTTTGACAAGCGTGTTCTGTAACTGATCTCACACCCATACATTTTCAGGACAACCGTGAAGCCCTGCTGTGTGAGCTAGTTATCTGTCATGTCTCACTGTGAAAGAGACACACACACATGTCAAGTGTTCCAGGTTTTCGTGTGAGGTTTCAGAAACTTAGAAAAATGTAGAGTGTTGGAAAGTTTATGAATGTGCTTGCATTCGTTGTTTCATTAGCTTCATGCCAAACTGAAAATGATGTATTTGGAATTAATGTTATTTTGCTTAATGTTGACACACAAATGCATACAAAAGCAGGCGTGAATGAATGCATGCATACACACACACACACACACACACGTTTGATTTTGCAACATTTACCAAACATCCAAAACAATGTGCACGTGATACTATTTTTATCGGAAAACATATAAAGTCCTGATAATGCTTCAAATGGAGTCAAAACTGTGCCAGATGTTCCTTCATCACACACATAACTGAAGAATAACTGCTAGGACACTGATATCAGATGTTTCTGACATTGGAATCTTCATTTGTAATGGGTCATATCATAAATATGAAGAGAAAACATGACACAGTGTCCTGTTTTTGGTTTGTGTAGATGTCTTTGGTCCAAGTTGCATTCATATTTCAGTTGAACTGAACCCGAGTTTGGAAGAGGACCTAAATAGTGTTTTCATGGGTCTCTGACTGCTTGTCTGATGGCCACCATAGTTTGTGTGACAGTTCAAAACTTACATGAAATGGGAGAAATGGGACCAAACAGGGCAGATTTGTAAGAAACTGTAGTACAGATTTATTTATTTATTTATTTATTTATTTATTTATTTATTTATTGAATGAATGATACAGGGAGTTGGTTGGGACGAATGCCTTTGAAAAGATATTGTCATTTCCAATTTTACGCAACTTTTTGTTTCTTTGTTTAATGGAGGAGCTACAAAAAAGTCAACTTACATGAAATGTTTCATATGAATCAGATTTTTAAAATGTAAATACTGCCACTTGACAGATAGTGCAAACTCAACTAGTGCATTTCGCATTGATCTCCATCATGTTATAAATGGGATTGTTTATGTTTTTACTGTAAAAAGATGATTATAAAACGTTAAAATGATACTGCACAATTAATATGTTTTAAAGCAATGTTTTTTAATTTTTTTTTTTTAAATATTAGCTAATATATTATAGGAAATTACACTAATTTAATGTAATATGGTTTGATATATTCAACCACGGCCCACAGCCCTCAATCAATTTTGGTTTTTGGCCCTTTATAAAAAAAGTTTGGGCACCCTTGATTTAGAACATGAATAGGGTATATGCAAAAGGACTTTTAATTTGTCAGTAACCTGGGTCAACCACTGCCAGTGATCTGTATGCCGTTACAAAATCAAAGCGTTTAAGGTTTTATTTCTTTAAAAATTTATATAAATTTGGGTCTGAGAAAGTACTAAAAGCACTGCATTAAATGACATTTTCCCACTCATATCTTTAAAATATGAACATTCATTTTACCCCAGCATATTCAATGGAGCTTCTGCGCTAGCCTGCTAATCCTCTATTTACCTGATTATATTTTAATTACATTACAACATTGACGCTGTTAAAGAAATCATAAAAATGGAAAAAAAGTTGCATTAACTGTTCACCAGAAGTTTATCAGTGGAAAGAAACACTATCTTTGCAAGTTACCGTTAACTAAGTTGCCATTAGCAGATATAATGTCCATTACTCAATTAAAAGTCTGCTCTTTCTGGCTTTTGTACTGTAGATATAATTATTATTATTTTTTTTAATCCAGAGATGGTAAACTATTTCATAATATTTTTAACAGCACCTCCTATCATTTAATAGTGTTGAAGGTGTTGTTCCATAACCGAAAATAAAATCGTGTGAATTGTGTAGAAAGTGGCACTGGTGAAAAGACGGCGATGACTTGGAGACAGTTGAGTGGATGAGACGGCTCTCGATTTGTCACACACACCTCACACTATGCAGCTGGAATCAAATGCCATTTAACCTTCCTTCTCTCTTCAGTAGTCAACACTGATACACCAGGCTGATATTTTAACATAAGCTTTATGAAAGGACTCAAACACTTTGATTTAGGTATGATCAAACGCTTTGATGAAACAGTATTTCATCACCTTTCATCACCATTTTAGATGTATTATGTAAATCATTTATATTGCTGCTGCTGTTTTCTGAATAAATGGCCAGTGAGACCAAGAGAAAGATGCAGGCAGATGGAGTGTGACTGAATAACACACACAGCGAGAGAGAAAGAGAGAGAGATGGAGAGAGGGTGTCATTTGTTCATAGTAGACATGTCTTATCGCAATGCATCAAAAGGGATATTAGTTTTCTCTGAGTTATTTGAGATATCACAAGACATTTATTAAACAGAGACAAACACCTCTATCATCTTCAGTTTTCACAGTTATTGCTTTAACCACCAGCAATTTTAATCATCTTCTAGAATAGGTGTGAAAAGAAATCTGTCTATGTAATGCTATGATTTGGTGTGTGTGTGTGTGTGTGTGTGTGTATATACATTATATAGTGTATGAATTATCTTCATTTGCACTCTTTTTTTAAAAATATGGAACTTAATTAAATTAAATGTGAGCCATTTGATTAACAAGGTTATCATTTAATTAATCCAATTGAATGTTTTCATCAATTGACAGCCTCGACAACTGCACAAATGCAGGCAGTCATATTATAAAAAAAAAAAATAAAAAAAATGTAAGAATATTCTTACAAAGCAAGCGCTGGGAGATGTGTCACAACCTTCCTAGAATGAGTTTGACCAAAGCCCTGTCAGAAAGCCTTCACTCACGTCTTCCCACACTGCTAAAATCGATTGCCGCTAAATTCCTCCAGTCGTTTGACTGACAGTCTCACTCTATTCATTTCACCTTTTTGTCATGTTGAATCACTGCCACCTCCTTTGCTTTATTATGTGTGGCAAGCTGGCACACTGCAAGTCATTTGCATGTGGAAAGTTAAAGGTTCCTCTCTCTCTCTCTCTCTCTCTCTCTCTCTCTCTCTCTCTCTTTTTATATTAGGAATACACTTACTTAAATTGAACTATTTTTTGACAGTAACAATTATATGACACAAATGCACATATTTAGTAAATGGAAACTACACTGGCCTTAAAACAAAAAGTATATTACTGCAAAAGTTTGGTAAATAATTAATAAAAATAATGTAATTAGTTTATCATTCATTCATTCATTCATTCATTCATTCATTCATTCATTCATTCATTCATTCATTCATTCATTCATTCATTCATTCATTCATTCATTCATTCATTCATTCAATTTTCTTTCAGCTTAGTCCCTTTATTCATCAGAGGTTCATAGATTGACTGGTAAAACAAACAATTCTTTACCACAACGGACCAATACATTGACTGCAATGCTGCTGTCGCTGCACCAATCCGCACCATGGCCTCGGACTTGAAGGTGCTGTTTCTCATCCCACCAGCATCAAACTTGGCAGCAAACCACCCCAGTGCTTGCTGAAGGTCCATGTTCAATGAGGCCAACAGAACAGTTGTTGTGGTTGTTGTTATTGCCTCTTCTTGACATTTGATTTGAACTGAAATGTCTGTAGTGTCTTACGTACTGCACACAGGGCATAGCCTGGTATAAGTTTCTGATGGTATGATAACCTTGGATAGAAGTGTCACAGTTTCACTTTTTAAATATCTGGGTAAAAAAAGAAAAAAAAAAAAAAAACCTTTGTAACACTTTTTTGATGGTCCATTTGATTATTAGTTGACTGTCTGATTAATATCTGCTGATACTGTTCCTTTAAAATACTGGTTCTTTTTTCCCAAAAAATTACTTTTGCTGTTAAATGCCTAATTTTCTATTTAATTACGAGATTTATATACCTAATTTGAATGATATTTTAAGCACCATTTTTAGCTGGATTAACTAGTTGGATGGTCATCATAACCACACTTTTTGATGTACCAAAAAATATTTACTATAGATTTGGAATAAAGAAATGTGAAAAAAATAAAATAAAATAAATAAATAAATAAATAAATAAATAAATAAATAAATAAATAAATAAATATATTTTTTTCCTTCACATTCATTCAAAAAATTCATTAAATTTTCCTCAGCCAGAATTTGGCGATTTCTATATACAGTTGAAGTCAGAAATATTAGCCCCCTTCAATTTTTTTTTCTTCTTTTTTAATTTTTTTCCAAATGATGTTTAACAAAGCAAAGGAATTTTAACAGTATGTTTGATAATATTTTTTTTTTCTTCTGGAGAAAGTCTTATTTGTTTTATTTCGGCTAGAATAAAAGCAGTATTGAATTTTTTATGAACCATTTTAGGGACAAAATTATTAGCCCTTTTAAGCTATATTTTTTTCTCAATAATCTACAGAACAAACCACTGTTATACAATAACTTGCCTAATCCCCCTAACCTGCCTAGTTAA